CATTATTAGGGAAGCATCAACATGTTGTTAGTGCTTCAAAACTTAACCAGAGCAAGAATATTGGGTAGAGACAGAGTACAATAATCCAGTAATAGCATTTCATAGACAATCAGATAGAACTAGAGTAAGAAGTCGAAGTAAGAATGAAGAAGATCTAAATGCCGCACAAGCCTAAGCCAGAAGTCAAGAACCACAGATTTAAAAGTAGAACAAATTCAAAAACAAATAATGAGAAATTCTTCCATTTATAACCATGCATGAACCTATAAATCAAAACCAAACAAGAATTAATTTACAGGGCCTTGTAAATGAATCTCACTATATTAATCCAACAGAGACAACACAACTGACTAGCCCAAAATCAAATTAGAAATTAAAATCTTCAAGTTAGACTTAATCACAAAAGAAGAAGACTGGATTGAACTTTGGACCTAAAGCAAACTCAATCTAAGGATTTCACCATCATAGAAGAAGATGACTACTCAATCAAACAATCTCAGTGTCATTTTTGAGTATATCTACAAGTTGTTCGGTGATGATTTGACAAGCTAGGCACAAGGGAACACAATGCAGATTTGATAGTAGAAGTTGAAAGGGCATTCAACAAAAGAGGAATTTCTTCCATTCCTACACTCTCTGGCTGTTGTCATTGAATCTGGAAATTGACTCCTCCATGAACTCCATTGAGAGAGAGAGAGAGAGAGAGAGAGAGAGAGATTCTAGGGCACTCATTATAAATTAATGATGAAGTGAGAAGATTTTGAATTAGGTTAACAATTTTGTTGGGTTTTGGGATTTTTCTGGAAAAAGATTGGTTTTAAAGAAGATTGAAGAAGAAGAATGAAGAAGAAAAATCATCAATGCATGAAGAAGCATGAATTTGGAAATTGAAGAAGCATGAAGCTTGGGAAGTGTGAATTTGGAAATTGAAGAAGCATGAAGAAGTGTGAATGCATGGGATTTTTCTTTTTCTTTTTAATTTTTAAAATATGACATATATGCTACCAACAGTGCACATAACAATCCAATCTCATTAACAATCAAAATGATCAAACTGTCAAACCATGGTGACATTGTACCAATTTAAAAAACATTGGGGGGGTGAAATTGTGCAAAAAAAACTTAATGATATCAAGTGCGCCTGAGTAAAAACTTTAAGAGTAAATTTGTACCTTAACCTTAATTAAAATCCTTATAAGGGACTTGAAGTGATTTTCTTTAACTTGAGTTTACAGTAGAATAGAAATTCCAAGCTGATCTCTTTTATCATTCAATGCCTCTTGGGTGAGAGGTAGAGGACAACTAAAAGTACAAATGGTAATAGGGAGAATGAAAGATAGGTTTTAAGGAGATGAATTAATTCAAATTAAGTCCAAAATATTAAATTTCAATAATTTACAAGTTTGGCTTTTAATTTTATAATTTCATTGTGATAAATTTGTGATTTATTTTTTAAATTTTAACATGATTGAAGAATAAATAAATTTATTTTTTCTAATAAAATTTGAAACACAAGTTATAAATTTATCACAATTAAGTTGTAAAATTAAAAGTTGAACTTATAAATTTTTAAAATTTGACACTTGAGACTTAATTTAAATTAATTAGTTCTCTTAGGATCTATTTGTCATTCTTCCAAGGTGATATCTAAAGTAAGTAGCTAAACAATCATTATAAGTATTGGTGTATCTATTGGCATAGTGAATAGATATTGGAGCTAAAATGTATGAAATATGTGGTGTATCCACCACTGAGGACTTTCCCATCATCTTCTCTTCATTCCCCTTTCAAGCTGTTAGATTAAGAATTGAATAATTCATATTCGATTTCTCATAAAATTATTGTTAAAATATTCAATTATTAAAGAAATTATAAAAAATAAAATTTAAAGTCTAAAATTTAATATGAACAATTAAAAAATACATTAAAAATAAAAAAATCAAATATTTTATAAAAGATCAAATCTGAACCATCTAAACTAACTATAAGAGCTAGAAATTAAGAAAAGGATGGAAATGAATCCTCTCTTGTCTAGTACCTTGGCAAAACGTAAAGAGCTTATTTGGATTAACGTTTGCAAACATGCATTTTATATAAACTACAATTTACAAACTAAAATTGGGTTAAAACTCATTTATTGTAATGTAATTTATGTTTGGATACTCTTTTGTAAAAAGTTAATTTGACGAACTAAAACTTATTTGGATTATATAATTAAAAATATATATAACAAAAAAGGACATGGGCTAGTTAAAAAAAAAACCAAAAAGACATGAGTCATATGTCTCTCACTCTCACTAATATATGCAAGTATGCAATTTGATAAATATAAAAAAATATTAACATTAAAATTATAAAAATAAAAGAGTCAATGTATTAATGCATAAAATATTTTTAAATACTAAAAAGATTAATTAGATTTATTTAAAGAATATACATGTGTGTGTCTAAATTACAAATAATAAAAATATGAAATTTTAAAAGGAAATGTGGAAAGATAAATAGGTGATCCAAAATGCATTAAATATTACTAACGGTTAGATTTCAACATAACTAATATAAAATATTCAAATCCGGCTTTTGGCTTGACTATAGTTGAATAAGAAAAGCATATTTGCCACCTACTCTTATCCAAACATATTTTTTTATCTCCTAACTAGCTTTTAAGCGTGCAAATAATAATTTAAGCCAATTAAATATAATGTGTGTATTTGAATTAAAAAATTACAACTGAATTAGAAAAAAGTATGTGATTTTAGTGTGATTTATATTTGAATACTTTTTTTAAAAATCAATTGGACAAACTGAAATTCATTTAAATAATTTAATTTAAAATTCAATTAAGATGTATAATGACAAAAATAGTGAGTTTTCTTGTATATATTTTTATGACTAATTTGATATTTTTTAACTTAAAATTATATTTTTAAAAAGGTAGAATTAAAAAAATGTAAACTAAATTATAAAGTATTCAATTTTAAAAAGTTAAAATAAAATAATAAATTATAAAAATATTAGATTACAAAATATTTTCCTTACACACACACAATCCTATCATATAGATATATACTAAATATCATATCTTACATATGTGATCTGATTTAAAAAATATTAGTAACAATCTAATTAAAAATTACATTTAATGAAAGAAAATTTAATATCAACATTTTCAAGAGAAAACAAATGGCTTCTTGCCACGGAGGAGAGAGAATGAGGAGCATAAAGTAAAGTCACAACAAATAGTAAGACAGATAGCTTGAACCTCAACGTGATAAGACACCTTTTTTAGCTTCCACTATAACACAGTCTTTTTTAAAGTGAGTTGAAACAAAAATTTAACCAAGCATATTATTTTTATTTTTGTTGAGCTTTTAACCTTTCAACTGTAGTTTGAGTAGATGTTATTCAAATATGCTCATAATTCGAAACGAGCACAAAGTGTTGTTAGCAAAACTTCCTTCCTCATAAAGGGTAGCAGCATCCTTGCAAAACTAGAGAAAACTCCAACACACAAACTTCCAAGTAACAAATGGAAAACCACACACTAGATTACAATTAAAAAAGAAAAAAAAGAACAAAAAGGATGATAAAATGAAAGAAAAAGCAGTCAAAATTGAAGACTAGCTCCTAATCCACACTGCACAATCAAAACTCAAACAACAGTAGATACCGCACCACCACAGCAGAGAGAAAGGTCTCTCCTCCCATCCTCTGTCCTATGCATTCATCAGAGGCTATTTGGTTGGCTACTTAAGTAACATGTCATCCAATATTTTGAAGGGTTAAAAGAAAAGGATAATAATATTTTTTAAGAACTTTTAGTATCATTAAGTTGATAATAATGCATAGATATTCATTAACCTTATAAAAAAAGCTATATAGTCAAGTTTAACCTTAATAACTTAGGCTTTTAAACTAGTCTGAATACCTAAATTATTAAATATTATTTTATTTTATTTTTTAGTTAATTTTATTGTTTATCTTAAAAATTAAGATTTTTAATTTTTTTTATCTAATTTTAATTTTATTTTATTAATAATAAAAAAAATTTTGGTATTTGATCTAAAGCTCTAAACCCATTTGAGTTTGGGCTTGGCCTAGATTTCTTTGGGAGTAAATAATTTGAAAATGTATGCTCAATAGCTTAGAATTTGAAGATATATATTTTTAATATATGTTAGTTGCTTAATTAATTCTTACTTTTGAAAATATATATTTTTCAATAGATGTTAGTTGCTTAATTAATTTTTACTTTTCCAACCCCTTGTCCCCCTTTTTTCTTCTTTATTAGAATTTCTCAATCAGTTTCCAAACAAAATATAGATATTGCAATGGATGTTAAAAACATAAAATGAAAATTCATTTTGTTTCCTTTTTAGAATGAGACATGAAACATGGCTATCTCAACTTGTTAAAATTTTAGTTAAACTTGTCATTTTATTAACGTTATTTGTTTACTAGTTCACATGAAAAATGATATATTTAAAAATTGAAGAATCTAATTATTTTTCCACATAAATTAACAACTAAGTGTTAGTGAAATGATATGTTCAAATAAGTAATTAATTTTATTTTCAAATTACTTGTTTGTTATAACATAAAATTAACTCATTAAACCCTTAACTCAGCATCAACTTATCATTTTATTAAATTTTATTTGTTAAATTGAAAGATTTGAAAAATTTAAGAACTTGACAAGTTCCCTTTTATAAATTAATAATTCAATATTAATAAACAAGCATATTTGTATAAGTTGATATAAATTTTCAATTCTCTCAAACTTACAACTCACCTTTTATAAAATAGGGGGAGTAATACTCTAATCCTTAAAATTAAAATAAAAAAGAGGTTCAATTAATAATTTGAAACGGGCCCGCTGGAAGGATGTTGCTTTCCTTTTCATAAGCGATAATTGTTGCAAAGCCTAATGCTTTATTTGGTGACTAGAATAACCACACATTCTTACCAATATTCCACAATTACCCATCAGTAATGTAAACCCTTACCCTGCCTAGCCGCAGCAGCCACACTGCATCATCTTCATTCTTTAGCTCTTGCTTCTCTGCGTTGTTGCCTTTCTTCTTCCTCATTGACTCTCTGTGCATCAGTCGCCGCCTCTGGCCGGCGCTGCACTTGCTCTTTCACATCGCCTCTTTTCTGGTCTTCTTCTTTTGCAGTGGGACGACAATACAGTATGTAAGCAGCAAAATTTTTGGCTCCTACGACTCCATTGAATAATTTTCCAATATGAAGTTTTTGGAGATCTCTGTGTACCTTCCTCAAGATTCAAGCATTATGAAGCAATGGGAAGTCAGATTATCGGTGATGATGCTCCGATTCGCTACTTATTCGACAATTTCCGCAACTGTAATTTCTTTGATTAAACTCAGGTACTCTTTTTTTTTATTTAATTTAGTTTATATTTATTTAATTTTTAAGTAATAGATTCGAAATAGTAAATTTTTGTAAAGTTAGATGATGGCTTGTCAGAAATCAAACATTTAATTTATAGATAGCTACATGCATTTTTTTTTGGATAATCTCGTTTACAATTTTCAGCCCATTAGAAAAAAAATATAATCTTGAGCTGGTTCGTTTTAATAGAAATTTACAAGTTATTTTAGTACGGCTAACAAGTCACTCGAGAATGTCCTCATGAATTCAGATGAAAGAAATTTCATAAGGTTTGATTGGCTTTCTGCAAAGGATACAAACATGTGAATTGAAAATTCTAGATGTAGCTATTTTAATAAAGTAGCTGCCCAATTTGACAACATAGAAATTAAGATGAACTAACCTTAGCTGACTTGTCTGTACTTGCACGTATCTTTTCTTAAAAGATAGGGAAGTTTGGTGAACTTTACTTCACCGTTCAACCTATATGTAAGTTTTTGAAAGAATCACATTAAGGGCTTTGAAGAGTTAGATTATTATACTTTAAGTTTAAAAAATTCTGATATTATATTGCAGGCTCAGGGTCTCTTGCAATTTTTTTTAAACTAAAAATATAATTTCCCTTGTGATTTGAAAACACAACTTACACAAAACCCTCAAAGCAATGTCCTCTTCTCTATCTTCTTGTTTTTTTTTTTTTGGCTTTCTAGCTTCGTCTTCAAAGGCTACCATTAGAGGAATAACAAAAAGAAAGGAGAGAAGAAAGTCGTGCGACCCTTGCCGCACTCGAAGGTGTGAGTAATAGTTGTCTTCGGAGGTTGTCGCACTCAAATGAGAAGGCAGGTAGTCTTCGAAGTTTGATGAAGTCACCTTTGAAGGTTTGAGCCTCGCCGTACTTGGGTTCGTGTGGATGGGAAAATAAGATGAGAGATTGGGAGCAGTCACTTTGTTATTTTTGACTATCGTCGATGTGGATAAGTGTAGAAATTCTAGCCGTTGATAGACGAACCATTGATCATGATATTTCCTTTCTTTCCTTTCATTGAGTTGCTGTTGATCGCTGTTGTGAGGGGTGACTTGTGGAACTCATGTATTGACATTACTAGAACAACACATTTACATGCCGTTGTGATAACCAAGGCTAGCTAAATCCCAAGTATAAGTTACCACAATTCAAGGGTTTAAAAGATAATTAGTTTAAAACAATGTGATCTTAGGAAAACCTTTTTAAAATATGTTGTTTGGGCTTAAACCAAAGTTCAAAATTAATTAAATATGATAACGGAAGCATGAAAAACAAATAGCACTTATAACAAGCTGATACAAATGGACATTTTCCAAAAATTTGGCCTGTCTGCCATAGCATAAGTTACACCCCCCCGCGATGGATGGCATAGAGGAATGAGTCCTCCAGAAGGCATTTGTGCTGCGGCGCGCATCTATTGTTATGACAGCATTCTGAACTTTTGAAGCATGCCCTTTCACTATTTGATGTTCAATTTGAACAGTTCAAGTGTCTAGACGAAGCTCTTCGAGCTCTCTAACTAATAGCACCGGTATCACATTCAAATAATTATCTGTTAAAAAGATGGACACCCAAACAAAAAATGGTTCGTTTTCACCTCAAAATACTTTCAAATGTGTCCAAACCATACTGCCAAATGCTATTGGCCCTGGAATTACTTTGATCATCTTAAATAGACTGCACACAACATGATAAGCCAATCATATCACACAATTAAATATTCATACTTAAAATGACTATTAAACCCTCACTTCACAACAACACAAAGGGGTGGATAAAACTTAACACATATATTGATTTGATCATTTTGATGAATAAATCATTTTAAATATATCACTTGTAATTGTATTTTGGCCAAGCATACTTATTTAATCACAACAACATCAATCTTGGGCCAAGATACGTACACTTCACATATTTTTATATAAGTGATAACAAAACAGTGTCATGTTCCTAAGTTGACATTATATTATAGCAATATTTATTACAAACCTAAAAGAGAGGAAAGGGAAGAGCTATATAATAATTCTTTTCATTCTATAGTCGCCCCTTCCTCCTTCTTGCGCCTATTGGAGCTTTCACTTGTAAAATATTACTACGAGATGAGATAAAAATTTCAGTAATAGAATAATTCACTACTATTAATTAACGTGCACAACTATAAGGGAGTAAAGTTATTAAGCACTAAAACATACTTTTAATATATTACAACATAACATTTTCTATAGCAAATGTATATTGCCACTTGAGCATATTTAACAATTCCTTTTCATAAATATAAGTCATTTACAACTAGTATGATCATTCTATCATCCGAGCTTTTATATTATCTCGATTGAAACCTTAGGCTCTTGGATTAAGTGCACACTCACAATAGCCTGAGCTCACATTTTGTGGTAGGATCACCCAGCCAAATGTGTCCTATGCTAGTTTCGGACTATGGTCTCCTCTTATCACACACGAATCGATGTATTGTTAGTCTAATGTTGCATTATTGATACTAAGAAGCGTCACTCTTTAACATTGTATCTTGCATGGACACTAAAGAAAAAATCTCTAACACCGTATCTCACTAGACATTAAGGAGATACATATTATATGGACTTCCACTACTCTTTCTTACAAGTGAACTCCCACCACCTAACATGATTATGCTCACCCTTATCATATATAACACATATACATTTCAAATTTCTGAACCAGTCTATATAAACTTTCATCATTTTCATTGTTTGTAAATAATTTTTCATGCACAAAGTCACATTTCGCAATATGCAAGGTCATTAAATTTCAAGTAACAAATTTAACATATTTACTTATAAACAGATGAGCAATATGATTAAATAGTATAAATTATTCCATTATTTCAATCTTTTGACACACAAAAGGGTTATTGTGGCTCAACATTAGCTTCACATGTTTTATATGCATAATAAAACTCGAGCAACACTCAATTTACATAATAAAGTGATAATTGTCAATCATCACTCTGAATAAACTTAGAATTCACTAGTTTCTAAGTATCCGTAACACTTAAATTCCTTATCTAACAATATCAACCTTTTTATACATTCTAACCATACTATTAAATATCCCAACATATTAAAATTATCATCTAATTTCTCACATTGTCTCAAAATCTTTAAATTATGTTTAGGGTTCGTCCAAACCCTCAACAAAACTTTCAAATCACCATAAAACTTACAAACCTAAGGTTAGAGGCTTGATATAACTCCTTAAGATTTTAAATAAGCCAATGGGTTCAATTTAAACTAAGGAAATTGAGATCAAAGCCCCCATTAGCCCCAAAAGTCAGAATTTTCGCATAAAGAGAAAGGAGAGGGAATGTGGAACTTATCCAAGGATGATTCAAGCTCTAAATACATCCAAAATGGTGTAGAGATCGTGCCCTAGTAGACCCTGGTAGTTTCTCGTTGCTTCCTCGTGATTTTCTTTATCCCACTTTTGATTTCGGGTTTGTTTTCGTGAACTAATAAGTGCAGATTTTGCACGCCTGTCGTGGTGCATAGCACAATGAGTCCTTTATCAATTCAAACCTTCCTTTATGTTATGGCTTGCTCGAACTTCAACCTGGCCTTCTTCTAAGACTGTCTAAGAATCCAAAAACTATATTAGTCTCCCATAAATATCATTAATTAATAATTTATCTAAATTGAGTAAAAATACCCTTGAAAATACTGATAATTCTTAATTTAAAAACTTAGCATGTTACAATTCTCTGCTCCTTTTAGGAATTTTGCCCTCAAAATTCAGAATCTCACAAGCACATACTTGTGAGAATAATTGGGGATATAACTGCCTCATTTTGTCCTCGGTCTCTTAAAAGACTTTAACCAAGCAAATAGTCTTATTCCTCAATTGTCGTTTTTTCACATCGACAATCTGCTCTAGTTCAGCTCAATAGGTTAAATTTTCTTGAAGTTTTACATCTTACTTCTTAATAACATGAGAAGGATTATGTTGATATTTCTTGAGTTGACTCATGTGAAACATATTATGAACACTCGACAAACTCAATGGTAAAGCAATCCGATAACCTACAGGTCCTAACTTCTCCAAAATCTCAAAGGAACCAATAAACTTGGGAGTCAATTTCGATCTTCCTAGGCCAGTCATTGGTGTGGCCTTAAAAAACACATGGTCACCCACCCAGAATTCCAACGGTCTTCTACGCTGATTCGTGTAGCTCTTTTGTCGACTCTGGATTATCAACAACTTGTGCTTAATCAATTGGATCTTTTGGGTGGTTTGGTCTACCAAATTCGGGTCTAACAAACTTCACTTGGTTAATTCTGCCTATCACAGAGGCAATCAACATCTTTCATATAATGCCTTATACGGAGCTATTTCAATGCTAGAATGAAAACTATTATTATAGGTGAACTACACCAATGATAGATGTGTATCCCAACTACCTCTCAACTTTAAGGCACAATCTTGTAACATATCCTCTAGCGTTTAGATAGTTCTCTTAGTCTGGCCCTCTATCTGTGGATGATAGGCCGTGCTAAATCTTAACCTAGTGCCTATTGCTCTCTACAATGCTCTCTAGAAGTTCAATATGAACCTCGAATCACGATCAGAGATAATGTCTTTTGGCTCCCTATGAAGCCTTACTATCTCGTTTACATAGACCTCGGCATACTTCTCTAGTGAATATGTCATCTTTACTGCTAGGAGTACATTGACTTCATCAACCGACCCACAATTACCTATATTGCATCATAACCTGCTTGAGTTCTAGGTAATTTAATGATAAAATCCATTGATATGCTATCCCACTTTCACTCTAAAATCTCTAGTAGTTGCAACACACCACCAAGCCTCTGGTGCTTAATCTTGACTTTTTGACATGCGAGACACCTGGCAACAAACTCTGTCATATCTTTCTTTATTCCTAACCATCACCATATTTGCTTTATATCCTAATACATCTTTAGAGAACACTTC